TCGACAGGAAGTGGTTGAGAGGAATGGGATCCGTCAAGACGATATCGAATTCACCTTTTCCAAGGGTCGCTGGGGCCATCTTGGTGAAGCCGCTCTAATGAACCGCATAAAGAGCCATCCAGACGTTGGTGAACGCTTTGTAAGTCTCCGTGATATCTCTTCAATGATCTATCACTTCTAACCATGCCCTTGTAGTATTCTGCACTTCTACAGCAGATCCGGGATGAACAAGCAAGGAACAACCAAATAACAGAAGCGCCGCAGGGGCTGAAAGTTAAAGCGTGATCAATTAATTCAGACTTGTTTTTTTCGATTCAATATTGAATTTTATAATTTAATTAGATAACACCTTGGCTCCATGTATAATTCTTTTTAAATCGTCTAAATACCGATAAAAGGAAACCCACTTACTCCTTCTTTAGTCCAATCTTTCCGATACTCCGCAATCCCCATAGACTCAATGCGACCATCATCACAGCAGCTCCAAAGGAGATCCAATATGTAGCTCTGTATCCCTTGAGCAAGGCTGTTTTTCGGTCTGTGTGGGGGAGCTCATGTTCGACCACAGAGTTAGAGGCCACTGCAGTAATGGCGATGCCAACTGACATGCCAATTTGAGATATAGTGTTGAACACCCCACCAGCTAGCCCATGGGTTTTCGGAGGGAACGCAGAAGTAATCACAAGGTTTGACACTGTGAAAAGTGTATCAGCAGAGACGGGTATTAAAATAGTTGCGAAGAATGTAGCGGTCCAGTAGCTCCATTCCGGACGGGCGATTGCCATAAGTAATGGAGCGATTGAAGACGCAACGGCCGCACAAGTACAGAGAATATCCGCAGAAACTCGCTTTACAAGGAAACCGGTGACAATATTAATGACGAGGCCCGATATAACCATGGGGATATACTTAACGGAGGCCATAAGGGCCGAGTTCCCCTGGAGTTCCTGGAAGTAGAGGGTGGTGAAGAACTGGAAAGAATTGAAAAGTGCCCAGGTAAAGAAGACTGAGATACACACGCAGGTGAAGTTTCGGGCCCGGCGAGGAGCGTTAGTGGTGGACTTAAACAAGTTTGGTGGCACCATGGCGACACGACCAAGTCGTTCTTGACGATGAATCCAGAAGACAAACCCTGCAAGGCAAACTGCCGAGAGAGCCAGGGCCACAGCGTTACCTGGCTTGGCCAACTCACGGATCGACACGCTGATGGTTCTAGAAGTTCTCGTTAGCGGCAAGCCCATGCAAAACCTAAGAGGATCGCGGAATCATGACTCAACGTACGACAAAGCATAAGAGAACAACCCAAGGGATGCACTGATGAGGAGAGTCCCAACCCAGTCAATCTCAGTTGTTAATCTCTTCCAGGTTACCGGGACTACTTTCCGGGGGTCTGCAGGAATTTGCCAGAAGGCGACAATAAGGACTAGGACGTTGACACCTGCAACGATGTAATATCCGTATCTCCATCCAATGCTTGCAATCAGAACACCTCCAAGGACTATACCAAGCGAGAATCCGACGGGCTGCGCCGCACCCAAGCATGCAAAGGCGATATTCCTTCGTCCGCCTGGCGCGAAGGCAGCAGTGATAATGCTCACGGCACTAGGGAGGCACAGAGACATGGCGATTCCGGACATAGCGCGGAACATAATGAGTTGAATACCAGTCTTAACAAGGCCACATCCAAGGGTAAAGGCAGAGAGGATACCACATCCCGCAAGGTAGATCGGTCGGCTGCCAATCACATCCGCAAGGGATCCGGAGAGAAGAAGCGTGCAACCACAGGTCAATCCATAAACAGAGGCTGGCCTGAAAGAATATCAATAAGAATCCAGGTATCCTCTACAGGCAAGGAGGTAACGTACCATAGAAGTAAGCTGTCCCCAAGTCCAATATCAGCTGCAATGACTGGCAGTCCCACAGTAAGTATACCAGTCAGTACGGAGTTCATCAGTACCATGCTCGACGCTGAAGCAATAATAACCGCGGCTTTTGTCCTCGAAACAGGTGGGACAGAAAAGGTACTGGCAACCTCCTCGTCACTGCTATCATCTGGGTCTCGATGTACACCATGACTGGTAACGTTCTCCGCACTGCTCCCTATGGCCTCTAACACCAGCTGTGAAGACTTGGGGGTAGCGTGGACCCGGGCTGGAGATGCCAATTCTATGGACGTCACAGACATACTGACCGGACGGACCAATGGCTCGTGGGACTGGTTCCCTTGCTAAGAAATAATTATACGCAGCAGATTTTGTATAATAAAGACGAGAAGAGAAATGCTAAATCCTAGAGAAAAGTCCTTGGAAATTGGTATGTATCCTGTGCTGTTCGGCCAAAATATGTGGAGGCCGTCAATAAGTAAAACAAAAGGCTACTTATTGGCGGGAGCTCCAGACAGTATAAGGAAATGCGAGGGAGCAAAGGCCCGACGCTAGGAACAAAAATGCCGGGCCTAGAGTTGGCACGGCTCTGTTTTTCCCGATCCCCGGCTGCCAAAAGGCGTTGATGGCGACTCCACTGTTGGATTCTCTGAGCAAATTATATAGGCGATTCAGGTATCAAGCATGGCAAAGGGCTTTATTTCGGGTCCCAGCTCCGAACGACTCATCACAAATTCATATAACTATGAGGCCAGGGGCAAACACTGACCCCCGTTCTTTATACTATCTGGCCCTTGATGCCGGTTGATATAACTAATGCGCGGCGTTAAAGGAGAAAAAAAGAAAACGATGGAAGGAAGTTGAAAGAAGTTTTTTTCTTTTCTTTTTTTAGATATTTAGGGTTTTTAGCCGGTCACGTGAAAAGTATGATGTAATCTAGAAGCCCTAAGCCCTAGCTAGATAGTTACGCGCTGTAGACGCGTCGCGCGCGTGTAGCTTAATTAGCTGGGCTTCGACTAATATCAACGAACGTCCATGCAAGAGAACAGAGGATAAACGGCCGTTGACAGCTTGAAAAGACTCAGACATGGAGGGAAAAGACGATGAAGTGCTGCCGGATGCTCCCCCGTCAGACGATATCCCAAAGACCGAAAATAAAAATGCAGTCACCAAGGATAACAAGGAGGAGAAAGACGCCGAAGTCAATAGCCCGAAGGAAGAGGAAGATACATCGGTGAAGAAGAGTTTCAAACTAGAGAACATATTTGACGATGATGATGACGATGACGATGACGAGGAGTTCCCAGACTCAGATGCTATTCAAATACCAGAGTAAGAGAGAGCGCTTTGAAATACCAATGGCTGATATCAAACGACTTACTCTGTTGATAACAGTAAGCCCGCACCTTCACTAGCTCAAACCGACCCGGAGTTTATGTCCGCCTTTTATCAACGCCTGTTCCCATTCAAGTACCTCTTTCAATGGCTTAATCACGGGGTGAAACCGTCGACGGACTTTGGTAATCGAGAGTTTGCCTTTACACTTCCAAACGATGCTTATCTACGGTACCAATCGTTTCAGACTGCAGATGCGTACGTTTACACCTTTTTGCCGCAAAGTGGTTTTAAGCTGATTTCCTTTCATAGCCTTCACAAAGACGTTATGCGATTAAATCCTTCCCGTTTTGAAATCGGTCCTGTTTATAGCACAAACCCACGAGATCGCAAAACCCTACGGAAACCGGGCGCCTTCAAGCCTATTTCAAAAGAGCTTGTCTTTGATATTGACTTGACTGATTACGATGATATAAGAACATGTTGTAGTAAAGCCAATATCTGTCTCAAATGCTGGGCGTTTGTTACAATGTCCATCAAAGTGATCGACGCAGCCCTACGAGAAGATTTTGGGTTCCAACACATTTTATGGGTGTACTCTGGTCGAAGAGGAGCCCACGCATGGGTCTGTGATAAAAGGGCACGAAATCTTCCAGATGACAGACGAAGAGCCATCGCCGAATACCTGGAAGTTGTCCGCGGCGGCAGTCAGAGCGGAAAACGTGTCAACCTGAGACGGCCGCTACATCCACATATTACTCGAAGCCTTGACACCCTACGAGAATATTTCGCTTCTACCGTCCTAGTAGACCAGGACCCATTCAGCAGGCCGGACCAAGCCGCTCGACTGATCGAATTGCTTCCTGACAAAACACTAAGGGCAGCATTACAGAAGAAATGGGATTCCGCGCCCGGGCGATCGAGCAGCAGCAAATGGGCTGATATTGACACTGTTGCAAAAGCAAATTCCCGCGGTCTCGATACAAAAGCGCTACTAGAAGCAAAGCAAGACATCGTTTTGGAATATACATACCCTCGACTTGATGCTGAAGTCAGTAAGAAACTGATCCATTTGCTTAAGAGTCCGTTTGTTGTCCACCCAGGAACCGGAAGGGTATGTGTGCCAATTGATATCAGAAAGGTGGACGATTTCAATCCTCTAGATACACCCACTCTATTCCAACTGCTGGATGAAATCAATTCTTGGAACCCATCACAGGCCAACCAGCGGGATCAAATGCCTGGATCTGATAGTGGCAGTGGTCACGATGAAACTGACACTGCTGCCAAGCCGAGGAGAATTCAGGATTATGAGAAAACCAGCCTGAAGCCATATATTGATTATTTCCGCTCGTTTGTTGCAAAGCTAAACAGTGACGAACGGCCAGCTAAGAGAGAACGAACCGACGATGACCGGAACGCTATGGAGTTTTAATTTTTGCACTAATGATCTCGAATATGATTGAATTACTACCCTTAAATATTGATGAATAAAATCCGCACGTATCAATAATGTAATTATGCTTCCTAGAATTACGGGAATAGAATTGCTTTGAGAATCATAATACAGGAGTTGATATTGCATTATTTAGTTATATGTTACAGGTGAATTTGTTTTTCAATATCTCAGCTCCAGCCTCCTCAACTCCAGCAGTCCCATGCCTACCAACCTGAAGAACGAAGAATGTGGAGAATATTACATTTTAAGGCGGGGAAATCAAGACTTAGTTGTTTCCAACGAAGCCCTTGAGGTCTGCGACGAAATGTTAGCATAAGATACCATTAAAGAGGGATAATAGTAAGAGGTAAAAGAAACATACTTCCAAGCCAGCGAACGTATTCCCTCTGCTCCTTGAAGTCAATGTAGTCAGGAACGAAGGAAGCAAGAGCGGTATCGATACCTCGCTCATCAAGGTAGCGCTCGATGAGGGTCTGGAGCTCCTCGTCCAAGTTGCCGAATGGTGGGCCGGCATACAAGCTCTGGCGCTCCCATTCCTTATCGGGAGTCTCAGCGGTAGCGAGCTCAGCCTTAGAGAAGTAGGAAACGTTTTCAATCTGGATCAAGCCATCACGGGCAACAGCATCAACGTGCATGGCACCCTTGCCTGGTTTCTCAATGGTAACGTCGACGCGGGCAAGGTAGCCGGGTTCCAAGGGCTGCTCATCAATGTTCTCCTCGGGAGAAGCGTCTTTGTTGGAGCGGGATTGGTCCATCTCGAGCTCGTCTTGAAGGGCACTGTCGGCGAAATCTTCTTCAGGGTTGATGTTCTGGAGGTCGGCAATTGTGAAAGAGACGCGGATGCTATAGACATAGTTAGTATTTGTGGTGTATATTAGAGTGTTCGGTGCTCGGCATACTTTTCATCACCAAACTTCCGGGTCAAGACGACCTCTTCTTCTCCGGCCTTGTCGATGATCTAATCTCCTGTCAGTGCCAGTTCTATAGCAAATAAATTATGAGTATTCACCTCAAATGGGCCATTGTCAAGGAAATACTTGACAGACTCAGGGAGCTCCTCGGTTTCTCCGCTCTCAGTCTCCAGGGCAAGCTCTTCCTGGAACTTGGCTGCAAGCTCGACATCGACTATTGCACCAGTTAGCAGGCCAACACTCGATCCTAAAGGATTATAAAGAAGAACAGATTCATCTCACCTTGGCCAGCAGCCTCAAATCTAGGTCTTGAGGTAGAGAAGGCAGCGTATGAAGGGCGAGACATGAGCTTCCATGTTGGCTGGAAGAAAGCAGATCGCTGCAAAGGTCTCGCAGCAGACGTGGCGATGGATCTGGAGAGGGTTCGAGGAACCGATCGGGTCAATGAGCGTATCGAGAACATTGTGATAGTGGTGTATGGAGTGACTGGCACAGGACAGCGATTGATTGTTCTGTTGGATGGTAGTTGATGTTTTGGCGATGTTTAGATTCTCCAGCAAAAAAGACGTGAAGTTTTTTGCTTGAAACTTAAAGACGAATGATTGGTCAAAGCACATGTTGCAAAAGTGACGGGTCCCCCATCATCCCGAAGCCAAGGTTAAGGAGAAATAGGTATACTTAGGTACGAACTCCAAAGTATTGCGATACCAATTCAATTCAATTCCAGAACTTGATGCTGCTTCCATGGACGAAGCTACAATCGCGGCATATTCTCATGGGATATATCGATGGCGAAATATTAAAGGATATTCGAACATAGGGAGAGTACCCCCTGATAACTACACAGACTGATATAACTAAATAGTGAGAGAAATAATATGAATACTTTTAATGAATACAAACGTATTTCAGCCCATCTAGTGAGTGCGGCTGCTGTTGATGTTCAGGCAGCCTTTGCACTCTTTTTGCGCTCACCATTTTTATGGTGATGGTGGTGATGATGGTGCTTATGGCCGTCCTTCTTAGCAGGGCCCAAATAATCACTAATGTAATGCTTTGGCTTCGTCTCCTCCATATCCTCCTCGTCCTCGTCTTCTCCCTCGATTTCAAAGGGAGGCCAGTCTTCCCAGCCATCTTCCCACATAGTTCCCAGTAATTCTGCTTTCTCATCTCTAGACAACTCTTTGTTCCCCATGACACGCTCCCACCTAGCCATCTCCTTGTCATCGAGCAGACAATTGTCTAGGAGAGCAGTGATCTTCTCTGTATCGATTCCTTCACCGATGAACACCAGCTCCTGTCTTCTGTCACCCCAATCGCCTTTGAAGTCGTTTTCAATTGATTTGCGGACATCTTCATCCTCTGGCCATGCATCGCTGGGCACTTCGGCAAACCACGGACCACCGCAGCTTACTGTTAACATGCCCCCTGCCTGGCTCCATTCTCCAAACTGGAGGGGACGAGTTGCGAGCCAGAAAAATCCCTTGGAGCGTAGAACAGGCCCAAAGACGTGTGAACGTTTGTTTGCAAGTATTACTGCAGGATCAGGTTGTTCAAACCCACTCACACCCTGTTTCTCTGTATCTTCATCCCCCTCATCCCCCTCCTCCTCGTCCAAATCCATTTTGTCATCTTCGTTACCTTCATTGTCTTCATCCTCATCTCCTCCTTCGCTATGTTGGAGAAGGATGAATTTATCATGGAGAAGAGCAAAAAGGTGACGAGGGTGAAAGGGCCTCCTTGCAGTATATACAAAATTGTTGATACCGTACCTATGTATCGGTATGTCAGCACCCATAACGCAGTTTACAATTAAAGGCAAAAGGGGTGAAATATAAAGTGAGGGAAAACATACTCCAGGGTCTCGGGTTTCGGAGCCATTCTCTGCCCGTTACCAGTATTCATAATTGTCATTTCGTGCAGGCTTCGTAGCCACCCTGATCCTGAGGCTGCCTTGAGAAAATTGAACCTTTTAGTGTCAATTATTTCTCGCACATCAACTTTTGAGTAGCTAGCCTCCAAGACTTTAGCCTCAGGATTCAACAAGTTCACAAGCTGCTTAATCCGACGACGGGTATCTTCATTAACAGTCTCTATCTTGTTGATGATCACCACGTCGGCAAACTCGATCTGATCTACCATGAGGTCAGAGATGGTACGTTCATCTTCCGGCACAATCTCCTTTGCACCATAGCGATCAGAAAGGAACTCGGTGGTATCAAAATTTGACAACAGATTGAACGCATCGATCACCGTCACGGTAGTATCAAGGCTTGCTAAGGTGTGAAGGCCTCCCAACTCCGCGCTGCATTTGTAGGGCATAACAAGTCAACGAATAGTCTAGCTATAGAAAAAGACCAGGTAAGGAGTAAGACACACGTACATTTCGGCAAGAATCTTTTTGCTATCTTCATCGGCATCCGCGATTTGATCCTCGGCTTCAAGCATCGCAGCGCTGAATTCTGCGGTGAAAGTCTCCGCAACCTGCATAGGTTCACTAATGCCTGTGCTCTCGATAACGACATATTCAACCTCGTTCTGTTTGGTCAAGTTTGCCAGTTCCGAGAGTAAGTCTCCACGGAGAGTGCAGCAGATACAGCCATTCTGCAGCTGGATCAGTTTCTCCTTCGTCTGGGATACTTTGTGATGTGTTATGAGAGCAGCATCAATATTGAGCCTAGGGAGAGATCAAAGCATTAGCATTGCGGTAACGTAGAATCCATGCGGGAATGCTTGGAGAACTCACTTGCTCATATCATTGACAATGACTGCAATCCTAAGGCCATGGTCCGGCGACTTGAGAATGTGCTCGAGTAGTGTAGTCTTTCCACTGCCCTGTATCACCGTAGTTAGACCAGATTCACAGACTTCTTATGCAGGGTCAATACTCACCAAAAACCCAGAAAGCAGCGTAACTGGTAGGCGTCGAGTCTCTTGCTTCCCAATGACTGCAGGTAGACTACAGGAAGGGCCGTTCGCCTCTGAATTGATGCCCATTTTTGATCTCTAGCCGTTTCACCTCTATAACGAATGTCCAAAGCTGAAGAGAAAACAGGTATCACAATGAAGAATTTTTTTTCCCTCAAGGGGAGCATACTGGCAGCGCCCTTCTAGTCTTTATATCGCCCTCGGGGTACTCATAACTCCCCTCGAGCACGCGAGGGACACCCTTCCCTGTACCTAATCCCTGTTCCATGCCGCGGGATGTCTCCTAGGGACATAGTAATGGACAACGCATGATAGGACAGTTCGTCTTGCCCCGTGAAAAAGGGAGCTTTGTCTTTTCTCTCAGGGTCCTTGCCGGGCCAGCTCCATACATAGAAGACAAGCTGACTAAGCGGTGCATTTGATATTTTTGTACGGAGCATGAAGCGATAGAGACTTGATATGTCGAAAATTCGCAATTGACAGGCTATGTTTATATTTTATGCAATAGAGGACTCCAGTCGTGATGGGTATTCCGTGTCATCCATAAAAAGAGTATAAGTAGTTGTTTTTTAGCCGCACTGATAGGCGTTTGTATATGTGGCGTGCCACCTGGAGCGACGTCATAAAGTCATTATTTCATGTCCAAAGATCAAGGATATACAGAGTATGGTATCATTGTGGAAATTCCGTAGATAAGATCATGACAGCCCCTTGGGCGGGAACAGTGACGGCCGTTTATCTCCGGCCTTACTGAGTCTGACGAATTTGAGGTTGCTCATTGCAGACCAATCCTCATTCCAATTGCGCAGTCGACGCAAACTGTCCTCGCATTCTAGGTCTGGCATCCAAAAGCCGGTCTGATATTCCTTTTCTTCAGCTTCGATTTTCTCTGTCAAGACTTCCTGGCGCTTGCTTGGAGGTCTGCCTTTCCGTCGAGCTTCCTGCTCTTCCTGTAGCTCTGGCTTGAGTCGGTCTAGGTATCTACACACAGTTGGTTAGTATAATCACACTCTATATAGCGCCAGAGTTCAATTCTGCCAGTGGGAGAAGTAACGTACTGCCGGAGTAAGCTGACAGCACCTTCTGACGTTAGGGGCGCCTCTAGGTCTTTTGTATGATCTCTAAAGAAAGCTACTCTATCAACTACACGCAAGTCAGCATGTGAGCACCCAGTATAATAATGTGCATCGCACGTACAAACTCACCGTATATCTGTCTTCCCTTCATTGTTGTCGCTGCTGCTCGAGCTAGCTTCTCCTCCCTCCCACCAGCTCGTCGCAAGCGAACTGCATCTCTGCTTTTCTCATGTAGAGAGTCTAGCTTCCCCTTCTTCTTGGAGAGCTTCTTGGTGATTTTATTCAGATTCTTTGTCATTTTTCTGCCTGCTCCAAGCTGCGTTTCTTCCAGTCTTTGGCTCCTCAAATTTTATGTCCTTTTTTTTTATTTTTTATTTTTTATTTTTTTTTCACTTTTTATCAAGATAACGGCAAAATAAGGCGGTGTCCCTTGCTGAGTCATAGTCACGTGTAAACTATAAATTAACTTCAACCTTTCAACTTTCGAACTTTCAAAGATCAGACGAAAAGACGAAGCAAAAAAAAAAAAAAGGAACGGCGATACTGCATATTAAATGTATTTACTAGTATGAAGTATTGAGATGACTGACATACTGTCCTTTGACATGGACGTATGTGTTAGATGTTTGGATATTTACTGTTGTATACTCCGTACGCCCCATATTAAAACATCTCTGATAGAGTACGGAGTACATTCGTAAAACTCCCACCCGCGCAATTTTATAAACAAACAAGAGAAACTACTCCGTACAGCGCTGTATACACGATAACAACCGTTTCCGCGTCCTCTCTGCCTTGAAACAAGTCAATACTCGGTTTCAATAGTTCCAATATCAATTTCTTTTGTTGATGGCGATAACAAGAGGTCGAGCGCCTTCCACGTGACCATCTTGGAAACCGCGTCTTCCAGCGCGTCGAAGTTGCTTTGCAAGCAAAGAACGAGAAAGACTTGACCTTCATTGTTTCCCTTGGACGCTGCGAGGTGCTCTGTTTACCCCCTCGGCTTGAGTGCTATCCATGGATCATTGCCGTACAAGCTTTACCAGTTCCTGACTGAGCTGGACCAGAGTTGGGATCTGGGGGGGTTGTAAGTTGTGACGGTCATCATGGGCATTTCGGGTATGTTAAGAGGTAACACCTCCTTGGAGATACAGCTACTAACCATACTTGCAGGGCTCCACGGGCTGTTGAAGTCGATCCAGAAGCCTTGCAATATAAAGAAGTTCGCGGGTCAGACTCTCGGGGTCGATGCATATGGGTGGTTACATAGAGGGACAATTGCGTGTGCATACGAACTGGTACTCGGCAAGCCTACCACAAAGTACGCTCAAACTTTTTACAAATATACAACCCCCAAATAAGGCTAGGTGCTGACCTGTAGGCGTAGATATGTTGATTTTGCCATAGGTCGCATACGGATGCTTCAGCACTATGGAGTTACCCCATATATCGTGTTTGATGGGGGGATGCTGCCTAGCAAAGAGGCTACGGAAGCGTCTAGGGCAGCCAGGCGAGAAGAGAGCAAGAAATTAGGTGAAGAACACATGCGAAGAGGCAGGACTACTGAGGCATATCAAGAATTCCAAAAGGCTGTTGACGTGACACCCTACATGGCCCGCGTCTTGATTGAAGAACTGAAGAAGCACAAGATCAAATATCTCGTGGCGCCGTATGAAGCAGATCCCCAATTGGTATACCTGGAGAAACAGGGAATCATCAATGGAATCATCTCAGAGGACTCCGATATGCTTGTCTTCGGTGCCAAGCGGCTTCTGTCTAAACTCGACAAGAATGGCGACTGTATAGAGATCAACAGGGGAGACTTTACTGCTTGCCGAGATATAAGTATGATAGGCTGGACTGATGAGAACTTTCGTCATATGTGCATTCTTAGCGGCTGTGACTATCTCACTAACATCCCTAAAATGGGACTGAAGACTGCATACCGGAGTATCAGGAAGCACAAGACAGTGGATCGAGTTGTCAGGATGGTCCAATTCGAGGGATCAAATCGTGTGCCTCCAGGATATCTCGAGAACTTCAAACGAGCGGAACTCACTTTTCTGCACCAACGAGTGTTCTGCCCCATTGCAAAGACCTTGGTTATGCTTAACCCACTGCCGGACGGCGGGAATGGAGAGGATATGCCCTACATCGGTACTCTTCTAGAGCCCCATGTAGCCATTGGGATTGCATGTGGTGACCTTGATCCAATTACCAAGGAACCCATTGAGCTCAAACGGTCGTACCCAGAGCGAGAGAGACTGGTCCGAACTGGACGACAATCTATCACCTTATCGGATGAGAAGAAACCCGTCCGAGAGATACAGGAGTTCTTCACACCAAAGCGCATTCCGCTTTCTGAGCTAGATCCAAACTCAATGACCCCTTCATCTGGACCAAATCGGCCATTGATGGGTCGAAATGGTGGCCGATACTCCCTAGCTGCAAACCGGGTATCGACTCCTCCCAGTGTCACCAGAAGTGCGGCCTCGATACCAAACACTCCAACTGATCGTGCCCGGCGCGCAGAAGCGTTCCTTAGATCTGCCTCCGAACTGCCGCCGCCTCAAGTTCAGAAGAGACAGCGTCTCTGTTCGGATGCTAGTGAAGAGAATATCACGGGAGCTATGACTGAAGTGAGTCCCTTCTTTGCCGGCTCCGGACAATCACCTTTGTCTCGCAAGGACACAACAAGCAAAAAGCGGAAGAGCAGCAAGCTCCATGTTTTTTCCGATCAGGAAGCTGCCCTGTCTCCCAGTCAAGGCGTAGCTAAAGAGATTGTCGCCGCCCCCAGTTCCACACAGGCTTCATCATCGAGCCGGCCTCTTCCTCCGACTTTCCACGCCGAATCTACCCCCATCACCAACTTGCAAGACAGTTCAACCAAATCATCTAAGAGAGACTCGCTCGTGGCATCTGCTTCAGCCAATAGTCAGACTGTAGACGCTGATTCCGACCCAGCACTATTCGAGAGTGTACTGAACTACAACATAGAGCGCCATAACCTGAATCTACGAGAGAAATATGCATTCAAGCCTTCGGGTCAGAGCGAACCTTCCAATAGTTCACCCGGGAAATCCTTGAAGCGAACTCTCTCCTCTCAGCTGCGAGCAACGCCATTGCAACGGCTGAAGCAAAATGCCCTTTCACGGTCAAAGTCCATGACCTGTCTTCAGCCACCAAAGCCCACTGATGATAAACCTAACGATGCAACTGAATCGCCCAAAATCACTGCTACACAGACTGCAGCCACGCTTCCTGCATTGAAGAACTCCATCTCTCAGGGTGGAAGCGAGGATATGATCATACCAAACAGCGACAATTCAGTCGAGGAAGATGACGACAGCCAGGGCGCCGCCTACTCCTTCGACTTCTCCCAATATGCATTCAAAAAGGCGTAAAGCGACTTAG